TCACTAGCCAGTAAGCGTAGAGTTATGAAGCCAATCTTTAAGAAAATAACCATCACTACACAAAACCGTACGGCCATTTCGTCCTAATGTAGGACTCTCCAGCAATGTATACCCTCAATTTCGCACCTCGGGCTCGAACCCAGGACCATTGGTCTCGCGAGAACGTTTAGCCGACAGACCACTGAGCCGGCATTCAGTGGTGTTGATGTCTAGCTACGCATCGCTGAGGAGTCCCATACTAGGATACAGTCCAATGTTTTCAGGTTTTACTTGTTGATCTAACACTGACCGGTTCATCATCTCAATAAAACTGCATTTGTTCTCTAGTTATTTCGAATAGTAAGTGGATTTCAAAATATAAACCCTAGATAGATTTAGTAAATGACCCGTTATTTGATGAGATATTTCACAAACTTAATTGTTTAAAGTGGAAAGGACCACACAGTTTTGTTATCTTTCGTGCGCAAATAAAATACATTCATACAATCCTGATCCCTTTACAAAGCAACGGCATCATAAACTAATATATGTTTCCTGATTCATGCTACACTTTAAACTACTTTATTCATGGTCAAATAACACTGTTGATTTGTCAAACAAATTGTTTGGAACAATAGTGAAGAGGGGAATTGCTAAAATAAATCAGTTTTAGATCTGTTCGTTTTAGGTTCTAACAAATAAATTACACTGAAATTAGAACATAATCAAATGAATGTCTGGTTCATTGGCATACTTATCTGGATTTCTATCATTAAGTCAAATAACTTTTATAATAAAGTAATCTAAGAAATGCTAGTGGATTCTAGCAACTTTTATCAAACCAACAGATGCTTGAAAACTCATGCCAATGAGCTTTGAACACTACTGAATAAATTTCGATGATCTAGAATTAATAGTCACGCTAACAAAAACTAGTTGCCGTTTAGGGGCTGAGTACAAATCTATTCGGCTAATTTAAGTAGCTAGTCGGATCCTTATGAAAGCAAGATACATTCTCTTATGATAGTAATGAACTAGATGGACTAACAACTTATAAAATCTTGATTTCTATAATCTCACAACCCTTTGCTTAACCTCAAGAACAGTAAACCCATAAGAAAATAGGTAGCCTTTAGAACTGACCGTAGACGTGCGGACCAGATATTTATTTAGTTTGAATTCGGAACACTTTTATCCTTTACTATGTGCTGTTGTCAGTACGTCCCTTTTCGTGAAGGCTACATTCAGCCTCATAGAAGCTTCGTCGAATATGAAAACGTTGGATGATTGGCAACTGATAAAACTTCCGTACAATTACAAGCTTTTGGTAATTTAAACGCCCTGTGACTTAAAAAAAGGCGCCCGTAAACGTTGACAGAAACATTAAAATAAGATGGCTGCGACCAGCTGATTAAACTCAGTAATTTAAACAGGGTCGTGGTCGGAAAACTCAAAAACTTGTCAATCTTTAATGAGTAATAATTTAACCCATGATGAATGTTTCGAGATACACGTTAGAAAAGTGATATTCTTCGGTATATCATTAATACTGAATAAAACAGGAATTAATGATTCTCTTTATAGATTACAAAACATATCAATGATTGACCCATTTTATATTCCTTTCATTTTTCAACAAGCATTTGCACTGTTAACATTTGTCACCTCTAAAATTCTGTCAACAATGTTCACCTTACAGTCAGCGATTTCAAGGTGTGAAATAAATCATAAAGCGGACTCCTGACCTAGTCTGGCATCCGATCTTCAACCATTGGTTTGTTGTTAAGAATCTCAATCCCGTCTATTTTCCTTTGGACAATGGGGCAGCACAACTGGCCCTGCTGACACACACTAGGTGCATCTAGAAGCTAGATATATAAATGTACACACAGGAAGTGAGCTGCAATAGTTAATTAACCATCAAGAAGCAATCTCGGTGAGCTTACGACAATTATCAACCCAATTATAAATATATGCAACGGTCAAACCCAAGTATAATTGAATAATTAAATCAGATCACCTATTATCAATGGTTTGAAATACTTTTAAGTACACAAGTACAGTATTGTGATATATTCTGAACACCTGACGGATAGAAATTAATTTCACGTAACTTGTTCACAAACTATTAAATACAGCTAATTTGTTTGTTTTTTAAAATACATTGCCAATAAGGTTGAAATGATTATTAGCATAAAATATATCGCCCACTAATAAACGACGGTGTTAACAAATCAAAAACTAGTGAATAAGATCTGTAGGAGGAATATGTAATGAAGATAGAACTATGAAGCCAAAAGAGTTTATTTATATCATGAATAAACATACGGTCTATGAAGTATGAGTTCAATGAAGTATGACGAATTGCTTTCATGTGATCTTAGGAATTAAATCTCGTTTATGTATCTATTTACTGATTATATTAACCCCTAAATGCAAATTAATTACTGAATGAACAATGAAAATGATCCGCGTCTCCAAAACATAAAAATATATAAATAAAAAGGCTAACTACTAACATGTCTTAATAATTAAATAACTCCTTAACCATAAACGAAACTGAAGTTTTACACGATAAAATGTCAAGTATGGTTTATTTGTAAGGGTTTACAAGTTTATGGAGCAAAAATATTAGTGTAATTTGAATACCTAATTTCTTGTGCTCTCAGAAGAAATACAAACACATGAAAAGCAGTGAAATAACTTACCAGACAAATACACAAAAGAACAAATAAACGTACTAATTCATAAAAAGCACTTTAAATATTGGTCAAACAGTCGAAATCACCAGTCTACCCTAATCATAAATATCAGTTCACAATGACAAAGGCAAATGTAGTCACTAGGGCTAGTGTGTGGATCCGGTCATAGACAATCTGTAAAACCAAACGGAATGCGGTAAAAGCTGATTCATGAGGTGACGAAACTTTTTAAAGGATGTGAATCCGGTGGTCATGTTTCTATATTGTGCTACATGGTTGAGCAATATCACACATGGTGAAATTTATTACTAAATCCTTTGATGCTGTATCGCTCAGCCAGATAAGTGTTTTCTAAAATTTCCTCTCAGAAATAGATGTCTATTAACTTCATTTTTTAGTTATTAAAGTGAGAAAGTAATGACTGAAATGACACAGTATGTATCCGAATAGTTTGAATCCTTGAAGATGTATTTTTTCACCGTTAAAATTATGAATAGAGATTTTCAGTCAGTTATTTACACCTTAATAGCTTGGTAGATTGTGTTGCAATTAGACCATGACAAAAAGAAATTCATGGTATTACTGTTTTGCTTTAATCAAAAGTGAGACCAGTAGTTAAGGTAGCATTGGTTGCATGAATTTCTATAATATAATACATTGTAAACAGTCAGTAAAGGTAGATAACAAGTGACCTAGCGTCATATTACCTTTTTCAGTTTACAGCTCAACTACATACAGCTAATTAGTCAATATTGAACTTTAAAAACGTTTGTTTGCTTATACTCTTAACTATTTCGAATTATTTATATCGCTTTCACAAAAGTTGTGAATGAATATAGCAGCTGCGCCAATACGCAGTTACAATTCACATAGGTTCTCAATACCATAATTTTATCCTAATCTCCAAAATTTAATTTAATACGTTATTTAGGATGCAAAGTAATCAGTTGTGCTAAAAATGACCAAAACTCTTATAAAGTTAAGGTCTTTAGAAAGCAATGCACAACCTAAACTATATAAAACTGAACAATTAAAATATGGAGACATTCCAAGATTAAATTCACTGTTAATCACACTGTTAGATAAATTAACATTGATTAACTAATCTGCTTGGTTTAAATTGTAAGAGGATGTAGGGTATAATAATAAGAAATAAGCTAACATAGTAGAACACCAATTATTCAATCTATACGTTCCCATTACTAAATATGTGCACAAGAGTAAAGTAGAATTATGAATAATAATAACAAAAGACCAGGCGAGGATTCTCAACAAGAATTATACGCAACCACAATTGCTACAATCATAATATTAACAGTAAAAAGAAAATCATAGGTAGGAAAATAGAAATTCAGAATTATTGAATGTACTTTAATGTAAAGAAATATGTATTGGAGGAAGAAACAGTTTGGGAGAAAGAAAACAGAATCCAATTACTCCATTATTACTACATACTATCAAAAAAAAGTTAAATAGTAAGTAAATAATGATTTTTACATCAAAAAAATTTATTAGTTCAACAAAAATACTCTACATAGACTACGAAAAAAGAAATCCAATTTCTCTGACACTTCCGCGACTAACAGTCCTTAATATGCAAAAAATCTAGCAGGAAAGAAGGAAAACAAAACGGGAGAAATCAACAGGCTGAATCAATATGCAGGACTTAACTACACAGAATTATCATGGAAAGACAGGTGGACGTCTAAAGAAGTATATATACACATTCAATGCTATATTCTACAAAATTTGAGTGTTGTACAAAAAGGTTGTAAAATACAGCTAATTTGTCCCATTAAGATAAACGGATAAAAAATATTTCGCATAAATCTAACTGAACTAAAATAAATTATTCGATTGAGTGAAATAACGAAAAAGTTTGTATGCAAAAAAGAGAGAATTGTATGAGGAAAGAGTTGTAAAATTATTTATAGCCAATAAGGTTACATAACTCGGATTAACAATGTATGATGGTAAAAAGTATAACAAGTGTAGTATACAACAAGAAGATTATCAACAAACAGAGGCATTAAAAATTACTCTTCTTTTAGTATGAGATAATACATGAAAATTGCTTATGGTAAATAATACAGTTTTCTCAAAAATATTTAAGTCTTTGCAACATAAAGACAATTACTGACAGAATATTTATCAATTATTACACAAAACGTGTTAGAGGATCTAAAATCGAGTACTGACTACATATTATAATTAAAGAATGTACGGCATAGACCATATTTTATACAAATCTGACACATTAAATAATGACAAGAACAAGACCAAAAATTTCTATTAGGTAGAACGTGCAATTGAGCTCAATTATGTGGGATTTGGATTAGACGAAATAGGCACTGGTTTTAATTCTCTAATCTGTTTGATCAAATACTGTTTCTCATCATTGAATTGACCATCATCTGTACGTTCAGTTTGAAAATCTGTCAGAAAGGATAGCAATTTTTCCTGATTACGAAACAGAATCATATGAACAGCTGGTGGCTTGTTTGGATTTGCAACAAACACCTATAAAGATAAAAACTAGAAATTAGCCAATGGAAGTATAGAAATAAAAGCTCAGTTATGATAATCCGACAATATCATTATTTTCACCTAATTGATGAAGTCAATTATACCATACATTATTGATCAGTAAGTTTTTTGACAATAGTCGTCAATATTGGTGCTTAGACTGTTTTTAAACCACTTTTTTATCAACTTGTTACAATGAATGAATGAAAATGCTATTAGGCAAAAGGAAAAAACGTTGCGATCAACAGGGAAGGCACGGGAAAATGTGTAATTAAAAAATAATTTGTAGCGTTTTAAGGGAAAAGATTCTACAATGTGGTAAATTATAAACCAAAGAAATGTTTCTCATTAATTGGAACATGAATCCGTGAATTTCTGTTGAATTAGTTTTCTGTTAAATAATCTTTAGAAAAATTTCTCTGTTCTAGATGTATACACAATTATGTCTACATATTAGTTTGTGTAGAGCGTGATGAGTTCTACATTGAGGAATCGTTTTGTGAAATTTCGACTAATGTCAAGGAACACCCAAGTTATATAAAAAGACCCCCTGATAATCCCGTAAAACATGGAAATCTACAAGTCCAATAAGAATACCAGTACATACTATATTTAATAATCACCAAATCAATATTAAAAATAAAAAATAATGGAGAAAGGTTTCTTCAATTATCATGACAGACCAGTAGTTGAGGCGTTCCATAAAATCCTAAATCCCTTTGCTCTCAATGAAAAGGAAAGCTGTACTACCCATCCAACTTGGACCGTTTATATTTTTCCCACCCATCATCATACATACGGTGATGTCACATAAAAAACTACCTTAACCAAAAACGACGTGAATGACATAATCAAACTTATTTTGATTTTCCTTGAACTTAATGTTCTATCTTGTTCTTATTTACTAAATAAACTCATCTCAATGTAATTCGGATATTATCAATGGCGGCCTGCTTGAACATCTGGGCTACTTGTTCCTGACATTTAGATATTTAAACAAGTTATTGTTTTAATACATCATTATGGCTATTAATTGCATAACCTATTCAAGAGCGTTTATGAAAATTGTACAACCTCTCGATGTACAAGTTACAAAAAGCCCAGCCGGAGATATCGTGGTTGCTGGCGATATGCAGCTTAAAGAATGTACATTACTTAGATATCTACTCAGTGGACTGCTAACTTCTAACTGGCGATCACCAAATATTTATTGTCAGGATCGACCAAGAAGTAAGAAACGGAAACATGTTCAAATATTTTGTGTTGAGAATTCTATACTGTACCAAAAAACATAATATTGAATAAAGCTAATAATAAATATTATTATCATCATCATCGTTTATTTATTTATTTCCTCTCTTGAAGAGGAAATTTAAACTAAGCTGGAAAACGTAAGAAATTCTGATCTCTACTTAAAAATATATCATTATTTTATTATTGATCTTCATTAGGTGTAATAAGCAGGATTTTAGAAAAACAAAACCAATTATTACACTTTAAGCTATTGAATATGTAAACTTGAACATGCACGTACATACGTTTTGTTAATTCACATGAAGACATACAATCGAATAATAAACGATTTTATATTACAAACACAAGTGACATGCAATTCAACTATCCACTCATGTGTAGATGTACTTTTCAGGAGAACCAAAAAAAGAGGAACATGTGAAATCTTGATAAGCATTGAAGATTCAAGAAGGATGATTTTTAAAATAATATCACACCATAATAAACCAATTTAACAATACACATCATTATTCCATCGTAGACTGAAAGGTGGAAGTCAACTTGGAAAAAGTCTACATTTAGACAAGAAAAGCGATAACACAGAGAAATAAATTCTGCATCCACATAAAATTATTCACCGTGATAATTACTGTCGGTTTAAATAATGAATCAATAACAGATTAATCTACTGATATCATCGATAAACTATTGCTCTTAAAGTAGACACATCAACTTAATTATGATCCGATGTAAAATTATTCACTTGTTCAAATAAACTAGCATCTTACTAAATAGATACCAGTATATCGTCTAGTTTTCTCTCATTATAGGTAGTAATCGATGTTTATTGACCGACATGGCTACTAGGCAAAACTACTCAATAAAACGACTTACGGTAGTCAGTGCTTAATCGTCGGACTCCAGCCGTAGGAAATTTAGGACCAAAATTTAGTGCAAATGTAAACTCATCGGTGACATATTCACAACACCAAAGGATTGTCAGAAGTCATAAAATACTATCTAAAATATTTCATTTACTTCCCACAGTAGACTATTAAGCCAATTGGAAAATCCACCTAACTGATCATATTGAATATAAACCTTATCTACTGTGAGTTTTGTTGATTGCCAGAGGTTTAAAAGAATGTAACAACGCAATAGAATAATTATTATTTGAGATTAGTACATCTGATGACAGTATCAATGAACTTTGTTAAGACATGGGAGCTCATGAGTTACCCATGAAAACACTGTCAAAAAATCGAAAGACTCTTTTGTCTCGGGTTTCAACACGAGTCATGCAAGCAGAAATTAGAATATTAAGATAAATCGAAACATTTGCTCGAAACAGAATACCTACAGGATACCTACAAAGCTGTAATCAATAAGCTGATATGATTTTCAAGCCGCACACGAACTAAAATATATAAAACGCTGACTTCGTTCATCAATGCATAGTTGTCACGTTTCATACAGTTAAACAGCTTTTATAATATGCTGTTTCCACCAATGATACCTTGAGATCTTCAAACTTATGCTATATTACTTGTTTATCACAAACTTACCTTTTTAGCAAGAAAGTGAGTTACGAACAATTCGTAAGTTATGTTAGGCTGAAAGAGCAATCACTCAAACTATTTTGCATAAATATTCATTTACTTATATGATATCTATTAATGAGTCCATAGAGTTGTAAGTGAATTAATTAACGAAAAAATACCTGTCGACCTACAATAAATTTATGAAAAACAAATACTTTATATATTTTTGCAAGTCAAACTAACCTTAAAACAATGAAACGCCTCAAAAGCAATTTGCTTTTCTTTACTTTTCAACATATTCATAATGACTTTGAGGTTTTCCGGATCTGCAATATATTTGGTCATTATCGAGATGTTATGCCGATCAAGTAAAAGCTCTCCTAACAACTGGGAATAAGATCATTAAAAAACGGAAATAGAGTTTCACAATTAAATATGAACATAAAATTTCAAATAGAAAAGGAATAGTTATTTTTCTGTGAGTTATGGCTTGTATATGGACTTTCGAAATAATTAGTTTCAGGAAATTGAAAGACGATATTAATGTTGTTAAAAGGGTGTGAATCAAAAATGTGAGTGGGAGCATATTTTGAGGAAATTAATCAAATTTTCTCATATCGTATTCTTTATCTGGTTTCGAAAACATTATTAGTCAGTTTTTGATTGGACTTCTAAACAGGAATTTCATATTTTATAAGTTTACTGATTTATTTTCATTTCTCTTTTCGACTGACTGTCGTTAGCATTGATGATGATCTTTGTAAATATATATCAGGATGAGAAAGAAAAGTTCTGTGAATGAGATAATCCAAATGAGATCTTTTCACCATATTAAAATTATGATTTCATGACTTAACGAGTGTATTTGATTCAACCAAGCATTACACATTTACAATTAAAAGTGACGAGAGAGAAGCAACGTATAAAATATGGCCAATATTTTGCAATAAAAATTAAGCTAAAATTGTAAAAGAAGGCAATAAGCAGAATGAATCTATATTTATTGTGAGAAGTTAGTATTTACGTAATAAATTTACATAACCTTCTATCATCCATTTGCATCGTTCGGTGCAATCTGTATTCTAAACTGTCTTCTCGTCTGGTCCCGAGGTGTTCTGACTACGCCGTGCATTCGCTGCACTGATATCGTCGTCTGATGACTGTTGCAACTTTGACTCCACGTTCCGCCACATACTACATGTGAGTAGCATATACTATACAATTACTAAAATTACTTTAAATAAAACAAGCTGACAGGATAGTTTCGGCATGTCGATTTAAACTTTCAAGTTATACATCACTAATGTTAAAACACCCCAAGTCTTCATTCAAACATGTTGACTTCTCAGAAAATTTATTCACACTGAATCGAATCTCAGAGTTTCAAAGACAACATTTAAAAAAGTATACAGTAGAATGGAACTCTTCTATACCAATGACTTGGACAAATTAATAAAATGGAATTATAAGAACTTAAATATAGAAAACAATGTTTAGGACATTTAATTATTATCAGCAGAATAGAAATGGGATAACCTGTTGATTAAATTTAGGTGTGTTAATTCATTAGCTTATTTCCAACCAATTAGTAATAAAGACCAGATTGAGAAGCTGTTATAAGTTTATTATGAAGCTCTTTTCGTTCCAGTATTTTTGAAATATATCATATTTCCACACATTTTTTTTTGTCTCGGGTCAATTCTAATGAAGTGAAGTGATGAAAGAATAACTAGCTTCAATTCATAATGGATATATTAAGACAGTTTGCAGAGAATGCACATATGCCAAACATGACTGATCAAATTTCAGTCAAAATATCAACGGAATAATACAAACCATTTCAAACTGAATTAAAACTCATACCCATTGCACAAGTGAGTGAATATTTGAACTCAATAGCTAAGTGGATAACATATTGGCGTTTAATGCAGAAGGTGTAGGGTTCCAGTCCCGGGTGAACATCAACTTTGAGTGCATGTATATCCAGCTGACGAGTCCTAAATGGGACGGAACGTGAGTCCTGGATTCCACTGCTAACCATATTTCATCTATTCTATATATCGCAAAAGTACCCTAAGGACATGAATTTTTCCTAAATATAATTAACTAAACAAGACAACGTTTATAGGTTTGATTTGATAATTTCGAATAAATTGAGCATTGGGTAGACAACATTTAATTTGGCACAAAAGACTTCAGTCTCGAATGGTCACATTTATTAATAAAACAAAGGGGAAGATCAACAAAGCAAACAAGGAGGATAAAGGGAAAATACAGTAATAATTTATACTGAATAGAGAGAACTAACCTTTAATGCTTGCCTTTTTGTGACGTAATTATCTGATAAAATCATATGCATATAATGGTCAAAAAATACATCATAGTTAGCTGATAGAAAATCTGCTACAAGAGCCTTATGACGAGTAAGCAAATCTTTCAATGTAGCAAAAGCATCTGAGCTCACATCAAATGCTGTGCCTTGTACATGTTCAAATAACTGATAAAATTCTGGTGAACGAAGAACAACTTTGGCTAAAGATTCATGTCGACATGCATCCCGAAGCATCTAGTTACAAAGCAAAAAAATAGAGGAATTATACATGAAGTATAAACACATAACTCATCATGAAACTAAAACATCAAACGGATACTAAATATTTCTAAAACTCTATTTTGTATATACATGAGTATTTTCAATACTGTCTATATATATATATATATATATATATATATATATATATATATATATATATATATATATGTCGATGTAGAGATAAAATTAAGAGAAATGACGAATATTTCATTTAATCGCCTTCAACTTCCCTGTCGTAGGCTCTAGCCAGCATCACCTACCCCATTTTGAGCGACTTATAAGTATCACTAACCTACAAACAATGTGTTTTAACCTCAAAGTACATCAACTTGTACTTATTAAATCAGGTAAGCATCAACACTAATATAATGCCTCAATACTTTTTCACAGATTTTGTCATGACACTGATGCGCATGGCTAACTTGTGCCTAAGGCTTATTAGCGTTTCAAGCATGTCTTCCCAGATGATTCTATATCACGTATCATTTATTAGACGCAGGAAATGGGTGGAAAAATAGAGAAGCTTCTTTATTACGCCATGTTGCAGGAATCTACGACGCCTCTATCCTTAGCATAATTAAAAGTGTTGAATACATATTATTCATGTTTCTGCTCATTCTTAGCATACTACAACAAAGGTGCATATGATAGACTACTGTCAACAACAAATTTCGCAGTTCTTCTCCAAAGAATTTCACACAATATTTTCTAGGTACACCTGAGAAAAGATAAATTTTACTAAAGTGAACAATCTACGATTTATAAATAAATAATATATTTGTAACAATCTACCCAATGCTCAATTTATTCGAAATTATCAAATGAAACCTTGGTAAATCTACGATTTTTAGAAAATAGAATTCGCTTTGTCTTTAGGAGTCTAGTTAGCTACAAAAATCCTCAAATATACACAAAATATGTTCTTTTTTATGCGGTCCGATTACAGAAGTTGTATTTGTTTTTTTATCTTTACTTAGTATTAACTTAAGTAACACGCCAATTTTTCTCCATTTGATGATACTAATTTCCTCAAAACTACATTTTTCGTGTTTAGAACTCCACTGAAATCGGTATTGTTTCTCTCCCCTTGCTTCTCATTTTGTTAATTACCTCTACCTGTGTCATAAGATGTAGCAACTTGGACCAACATGTATTTATCACAAGTCATACCTCGAATTTCATTAATTAGAAATATATTGTCAGACATCATCTGATTACTACGACAGCTTCAATATATACGGTAGTGAGCCTGTTTTGTAGTATAAATTGTCAATTTAGGTAACATAGCTCCAAATTGATTACTATTGGACTGGAATATACATTCGGTATCTTGCACTAAATTTTACGGATTTTAAATCTTTACGTCCCATCGCTCAACTCCGCTTGTTTTTGGACATTATTTTCGAACTTTTAACTCTCCGATGGTGTTATTATCATCAATTTTACTTTTTCCTTTCACGTGGTAATTTTCGCTCGTGTTTCGATATAAACTTAAACCCATTTATATTTTCGTTTACTTCAGTGAATCAGCGGTTAACGTTTTTCCGTCTGTTGGATGGCAGTGTTTACTTTCGCGTGACAGAGCCGTTACCTGCTAATGCAGAGCAATGAGGAAGTTAGATGCATCTACCAAGATATGCAGCTCCGTGAACATATGCAGATCTGTGTATTGAGCTGAGTACCATTTAATATACGAATTGGTACTTTTGATAGTACCTGACTGTCAGTCTTTGTAGATGCGTCGGAGTATGGACTTATGACAAGTTGAAATCGGAGTGTATTACACTAATGCATTACACTACTCAAGAGGCAATGGATCAGCTCTAAACGAGATCTAAGAAAAGGACTTTGTATCATTTACCGAAAGTCAGAAAGCTATGTAGTATCACTAGTACCAGCAATTTAAAATGGAATTCCGGTTGCTGAATTATATCTGTCTATTAACTCATCATCTGCTTAGAGAGTGATGAGAAGTTAAACTATTTTGCTTTAGTAGAATTCAAACATTCCAAACAAGCACGGATAATCCAGTATATTTTTAGTTTGTAAAGGTTAATGATATCAATCCACATTATGATTTCTACCCGTAACAGCACACGAAACCAAGTTGGTCACATTCAAATCCTTCCTACACCTCTTAATACAACTCTTATCTCCCCGACTAATACTCACGTCCTTTTTTCACATCGCACCGCTAGGGCAAACGATTCGAGTAGGCGGAACGTTATTCCTGGTCTCCTGAAACCACGCTCTAAACTACATGTAGGAGCTTTAAACGTACGAACACTGTGCCAAATAAGACAACAGGCTTCCTTAGCTAGGACTTTAGAATCTCGTGCCATCGATGTGTGCTGCGTCTCTGAAACGCGCATACAGGATCCGAGTAGCGTCGCTCATTTGACCTCACCATGTCAAAATAAAGAACCAACTCGATTCACACTTCGTGTATCTGGTAGCCCAGATGCTCCTTCTCGTGGACTCTCCGGAGTAGGTATAGCATTGAGTCCTAGGGCAGAAATAGCTCTCTTAGACTGGATCCCAGTAGACAGTCGTTTGTGCGCTGTCCGACCAAACGGAACAGTAAGGACTCGGAAAGATAGGGACACTCGTCGTTGGCTCTTCGTCGTCTCTGCCTATTCTCCCACTGACTGCAGCTCAGATGATGTAAAAGATGAGTTTTACAGAAAGCTTTCCGACCTTCTCCGAAAAGCTAAGCGCTCGGATGTAGTAATAGTGGCCGGTGACTTTAATGCTCAAGTAGGTAAACTAAGCGATAAGGAAAGACACCTAGGTGGATCTTATGGTGTTGTGGCTCAAAGAACAGATAATGACGACCGTCTGTTGCAGCTGTGCTCAGATAACCGCCTGTTCCTTGCAAATACTAACTTTAAGCATAAGGAAAGACATTTTTGAACATGGCGACCCCCTAATTCGTCCCAACGTTGGACCCAAATAGATCACATCGCTATCGGCCACCGATGGAGAGGCTCGACAGAAGACTGTCTCTCATTCTGGAACACATGCTTAGATTCAGATCATGCTCTAGTACGAGCGCGTATTTGCCTACGTCTTACTGGACGTAAGAAAGACGCTGAAAGGAAACGTCTTAGGGTCCTATTTAATGATAGTCAAACTAAGAGTATATTTCAGGAACAACTAGGAAAACAGTTAGGCAGCCATGTAGGTGATGCCCACCCCGATGCAGAATGAAATGATATCCGAAAAGCTGTAGAAACAGCAGTGATATCTGCCAGTACGGTAAACCAGAAGGTTAGGGAGCAACACTGGATCTCAGTAGCATCTATCGCACTGATAGATGCTCGAAAACTCATTCCATCTGGATCTGAACATAACGAAGAGCGGAGTTAGCTTAAGCGCAAACTGACAAGAAGCCTACGCAGTGATCGCGAACAGTGGTGGGTAGCGAAAGCAAGAGAGATGGAAAAGGCAGTGGCAATAGGTAATAGCAGACAATTGTTCAGACTTGTTAAGGAAACCGGTATTAGGAAACCGATTGTTAGCGAAACACTCTCAGAGAAAGATGGATATATTATTCATTCTCAATCCAGGAGATTGGATCGATGGGTAGAATACTTCAAGGATCAGTTCAACTGGCCTTCAGCCACACTTCTGTTTCTTACGATCTCCAGTCAACCTGAATGGCAAGTTAATGTAGGTCCTCCGTCTCTTTATGAAGTTGAAAAAGCTATCGGAAATCTGAAGCGAGGGAGAGCAGCAGGCCCTGACAGGTTTACTCCTGAGATTTTTAAGGATGGTGGTCCAGTATTAGCAGTGAGATTAACTGAGGTCTTAGGTAGAATTTGGGAACTGGACGCAATCCCATCTGACTGGTCTTAATCACTGATTGTGCCAGTCTATAAGAAAGGAAAAAAGTCCTCTTGTGACAATCACAGAGGAATCAGTTTGACTAATATAGTGTCTAAAATATTAGCTTCAATAATACTTCGACGCCTAACTAAAGCTCGTGAAGAGCAGATTAGAGAAAACCAGGCCAGTTTTCGACCTGGACGTGGTTGTATAGACCAGATATTCACATTACGTCAGGTTCTAGAACACAGACACACGTTCAGACGCCCCACAATGGTAGTATTTCTCGACCCTAAGTCAGCATTCGACTCGGTTGATCGTGAGGTTCTATGGCAGTGTTTGTCACCGAAAGGAGTACCAAAGAAGTACATTAACCTTGTAAAGGCTCTCTACCCGAACACAACTGGTAGAGTGAGAGCTTATGGCGAACTGTCATCAGAATTGATTATTTATTTATTTATTTGAACACATAAATATTGGTACAAGAGAGCGCCAATATATATGCGCCACACAAAACAATGGGAATTCGAAGAGAAGTAGAAAGAAAAAAAAAACTAAGGAACGCAAAAGAAAAAGAGAGTAATGACGAAGAGGTACAATCAGAAGAAATCTTTCAGGTAAAGGAGACACAACCACTTTTTATGAAGAAAGTAAAAGAAGGTTACAGCAGGATCGCCACTGGCTTCTATTCTGAGCCATATCTGATAACGTCTCTAGCCACTGTGTTGCACCATCTCTCGGACCCCAGCCAGGGAGTCGTGAAGGACCAACACAAGCCAGTCCTTTGCAGCTTTCTTTCATGCCACGACACCATGTCATGCACTGACCACCTCTCCGCTTCTTCCAACCAGTCCCAGAGTCGGCAAATAATGCACGACGTGGAATTCTCTGGGACGACATTCGGAGAACATGTCCAAGCCACCGAAGTCGGTGTTTCAAGATGGTTACACCAATTGAGTTATCATCTCTGTGCCCGAACACACGATGCCGAACCTCTGCATTACTGACATGGTGTTGCCACTGAATGTCAGCAATCCTTCGGAGACAGCGATGATCAAACACAGAGAGTCGTCTAACGTCCTCAACTCGGAGAGAATTGATTACCTCAAGTGGTGTTCGTCAGGGCTGCCCACTCTCCCCATTCTTGTTTAACTTTGTCATTGACGTACTTTTAGAGATAACACTTTCCTCATCTAAATTTCAAAGGGTTGAACTTCTGCCAGGAGATTCACTTGCTGACTCGGAATATGCTGATGACATAGTTCTATTTGGTGAAGACTCTGACAAATGCGATTCTCCCCCTCGAAATGCAAAATGTTGCTTCAGGATTGGGTTGCATCGACACCCGAACTAATGATAGGGAGTGAAGTAGTTTAGTGTGTCGACCGCTTCACGTATCTTGGAAGTCTCATCAGCTCTTGTGGTTTGGTGTGTGACGAAATCTCAGTACGGATACAGAAGGCTCGACTAGCTTTTGCCAACTCGCGTCATTTATGGCGTAGGTGAGATATCCGTCTATCAACCAAAGGACGCGTTTACTGCACAGCAGTTCGTCCCGTCCTACTTTATGGCAGTGAAACGTGGCCGGTAAGAGTAGAGGATATTCGTAGGTTACTAGTATTCGATCATAGGTGACTTCGAAACATTGCTCGTATATCCTGGGACCACCGAGTAAGTAATGCAGTTGTTAGGAAATGGGTACTAGGTAAGGATGGCAAATCAACTGCTGAAGTGGTGAAAGTTCATCAGTTGAGATGGCTGGGACACGTGCTACGTATCCCCAACCACCGACTGCCTCGACGTGCGATGTTTTGTTGTATAGGAGTAGGTTGGAAGAAAGCTAGGGGTGGCCAGACCAAAATATGGAACAAGTCCATGAAGTCACTAACAAGTGGACTGAGTCATGTTGATAGGTGTAGACTGCTGGTTGAGGACTGCGAGATGATAGCAACCGATGGTTAGAGACCCTGAATGACATGGCTCAAAATCGTTTGTAATGGCCCAGGTGCATACACTCTTTGTGTTCTCTCAAATTCTAATCTCCTGACTCCTCCTTGTCTCTTTTTTCTCTTCCCAAATTTATTTCACTGGATTATACTCTTTAAATAACATCTCCAAACCCTAATCTTCCCGATTACTGCTTATACTCTTACTACCTCTACCACTGCGGTATTTGAATCGACAACTGCATCTCTGTGCTAATGTGGTATGGCAACTCGAACTGATGTTCGTACGTACGAAGTCCTACGTTGTTACTGACTGACTGACTGACTGATGATTTCTAATAAATTCCCAAAACTCTTAAACTGTAGATACCATGTTTGAACCATTACGTGATAGGAAATCAACAATCATAGAATAATGCAGAACTGATATTTCTCAGATTTTTCCTACATCTGTAGTACTGTGTAAATCGTCCTAACAAGCGTATTGATACCAGTACAACACTAGAATATTCAATTTAGACCTGAAAGCTTCAGAAGTGAAATATGATTTCATAAAAACTTTGTTGGGAATAGATATAATTTGTAAATCAACATTTTAAGAATCTAGCTATGAGACTTACTGCACCATAGTGTATAGCAGTGTCAGGTTTGGAGTATCCTTGGAGAATAGATATTAGAATTTGAGAGTTAGCCAGAAGATATTGAGCTGCAGGATTATAAGATCCGACCTGTCGCCTCATAATATGGCCGAAAAGATCAACAATATGTTTAGAACTCTAAATAAATGAAACATGCCTAACAAAAAAGCATATACCTCAAACTCTATGGCATCCAAATTGTTTACGAGAAGTGGCAAAAGATTGAGGTTGATGATTTCATGAGTTACATCTGTTATGATTTCATTAATTCGTGCTCGTTCAGAGTTCGATAATTCTGAATCTCGTTCTTTGCCAGTCAATCGAGTATCTGACTTATCCGTCAGCAGCTCCCGAAGAGCAGTCAAAGCCCTTGCTATATCTTCAACAGCTTTTTTCCGCTCTTTGTCGGTTTTGGCACAGTTACTTAAAATCTTTAAAAAATAGTAAACAATACGCTTAGACTTACGATTATGTTCTCATTAACAGTTTGGATTAACTCACGAGGGCTTTTTGGCTTACCAAATAGAGGCATACTTTGAAATGTTGGTGACTAAAAATCAAACACGGATAACAAGTAATCATTAATTTTATTCCTAATCCCAACTGACAATATTGAAATCACGATGATGTGTTGAGGTACACACATGAGGATAAATATATCAAAGTTCTCAGACAGTATCCGAAACAGAAACGAGTTATGAACATGAGCTTTTAATAATAACATTTGCGCTCATAGACAACAAAAAACCTAGTATTAAGTTATCTCTTAAAGTTATTGAAACTTTCACAATCACAATATAAAAAGTAAGTGAGTTTGAGTAAGAACGTCATTCGCACTGGAAAACCAAACATACAAAATTTAGTTCAAGAGGATCGAATAAATTGGAAAGTGAAGAATTACACATGACTGGAAATTTAGAATAGGTATGCAAATATGCACCCTTTACCATGGTGAGGTGTTTAGTTGACGTGCGATCAAAAACGCTCGCACATAATTTACTAAACTAAAGATCAAGGAATACGTCTTGGATTAAAAGTCATTAGGCACGCTTGTGTTTCAAAATCAGGTTTACTCAGAACATTTCATAATCAGATAGAGAACTGCTTTCGCTGACTCGCCGTCGACCCGACCTATAAACAGCATAACGACGACAAAGATTGTTCAGATTGGTATAAGTTGCTCTGGCCTTAACTGTATAAAGGCTGATCCTACTAGGCACGTAACCACCAGAACTTCCACACAACTACCTGGATATACGAACTTTCCGACTATCTTTAGTGGCTGCGCACTAAGAGTAGGAGCATACACAGGCTCCTCCCAGTTTTGTAAAAGTGCTTTGCACTTTAATGTAAAGTACACACCAAAACCTACGGATGCTGATTAAAAACTGAAAAGGTGGAGGTTGTACAGCTTGAGTATCATCGAATAGTAAGACGATATCACTCGTATGCTCAAGATTTGAAAGTTTCTCCAGGTGATAGACCCATACCACCATTATCTACTTCCGTTTTTTTCCAGAATTTCAACGATGGTAAAGTTTAGGAGGCAACTCTGTTTAGCTTTCCTGCTCGAAAGAGAACAATGTAGAGAGGTGGTTCCATGCCCTCACCCTGCTCAAGGTGTTTGTACACAGGGCCTTCAAGATGTTAATAAACTTCTCAATAACACCACTCTTCAACAGAAAATTTCAGAGAAGTCCTGTCCCAAAAACTGAAGTGTGTCTTGATATCAAAAAACACAACGCCCATAGATCTGCGATGAGTAAGGTGTTTTGACATTAGGCTGGAGGTGAATATGTGATCAATATATCTTCAACCAGAACGAAAACCAGCCCTGTACAACAGAACTGTCTTGACGTTCCCACTGAAAATTCTGATATTGGCTTGCAGACAGTTGTTTTAAGTTTCAGATGTTCTTCAGTAGTAGGAATGATAACCTTACTTTGCCAATCCGTGCCTTCACATTTGCATCAGATCCTACCTGTTTATCTAGAATGCCAAGCACGTGAGCTGCCTTTCATGAACGACTTCGCAGTGTATTCCGTCATAAGAATTCTGTGATGTTGACGATCTTACATACACTGTAGTGTAACACTTTGGTTGAAACTAGTCAGTTAAAATTACAATGGCTGATAAACCCGAACCAATATCTCAGTCGAAATAACCAATAAATTTGGACTACTATCAACAAAAATTTTTAGTGCTTGGATTCATATGAATTCGATTGGAAAGCGTTCCACTTCTCGTTTTACTATCCTAGTTTGAGAGCGGACAAATAACTCATCTTTAAATCAGACCGTCGAACAAACTACTGAACTTTAACTCCTAGTATCCTTGATAACACCACAAGTACATTGTTATCTACTGTCGCTGCTTTATTAGGGTACTTCGCTTCTGTCCCTAAGGTACTCATGATTAGTATGTATACAAGTCTACCTAAAATAAACTTTCGCTTATCACCATGTTCCAAAAACACTGGGGGTGAGTTTGAGCATTTATAGTCAAAACCCATATACCTATTGAACTCTAGATGAGTGCTTATAACTACTATTTTGCTGCGATAGTGAGTAGACTATAACGTGCGTGTCTAACCAAAAAAGGATGTTTTGAATTTGACCCACCTATTTTGGTATGAGGAGCAGAGTAACTCAACACCCCCTCCCCCAGAAAGAAAACATGAGTTTGGACCGAGCACATCAACCTGCACACTTGGTCACTACTGCCAAGAGGGTGGTAAACTTTAGCATGTATGCGTCATCAGTTGTCACCAGTATTTCAAGAAAAACTTTAATTAGACAAGAGGACGTGTAGAAATTTTAAGAAACTGACCCTCAACACTTAAAACATAAGTTCTAACTTATCAGAAAATTTATTTATTTATTTAAACACATAAACGTTGGTACGAGGCACCAAATATATATGCGCCACACAAATTAATCGATTTGTGTAAGGACTGGAATACTACCCGGGCGCCCAGACCGAAGCAGGTAGCTTTCTTAGAGAACCACTCCCTGAGCCTTTGACTTAGAAGTCTAATCCACAAGGCGGTGAAGCAACGTTAGATCATGCTCCGGTTTGGGCGCCCGGGTAGTATTCCAGTCCTTAAACAAATCGATTGATTTGTGTGTTGCATATGTATTTGGTGCCTTCTTGTACCAATGCTCGTGTCTAGATAAATAATAAATGTTTGGAGATTCAGTATCATGGTATCAGGTGACCAAAAATAAGTTTATACACCATTAGTTCCCTTAGGATCCTGGAGTCCATGTGCACCACTGGTTTAGAATCAGGGTCCTTCAACTCCCCCGGGCGGATCCTCCATGTTTATCGACCCGATTGAACAGCTGGACATTCACCTTTCGCCCCTCACTAGTTTCGTTAACAACACCACGGTGAGAGGAAATGGGTAGTTTCCGCGGGATTGGATGCGTATGCGTGGCCATGTGAAAGCATTTTGACGGAAGAAGCTGACTCTCCTCTTCCTCGACCGTACCAGGTCAATTGGGGTTAATCCAACACTATCACCATTGGATGCCGGCCAGTGGTCCAGTTGGTTAAGCGTTCGCGCGCGAGACCAAAGGCCCTGGGTTCGAGTCCCGCGAGCGGGATCGTGGATGCGCACTGATAAGGAGTCCCACAATAGGACGAAGCGGCCGTCCAGTGCTTCCAGGTTTTCAAAGGTGGTGGTCTAACATCAATCGGTTCATGATCTCAATAAATAAATAAAAATGATCTGGTTTTAAAGAAATATTTTATCGCTACGTTTTACACTAAAGTGGTGTGAAAATTACGTGAAAAAAAACAATAAGGATGGACAAATGATGAACTGTCTATGGAAACTACTTTTCTCGCTTCGAAAAACAATCAATTGATTCAAATTATTATCATTACAATTATTGTCATTATTAATACTATTATTATTATTACTATTATTGTCATTATTATTATTATTATTATTATTATTATTATTATTATTCTTTTCCACATTATTCACCCTCTTTTATACTTATACAGCGGCTCGTCTTTGGTGGAAATTCGACTGTATCTAAACGTTCTCGAGTCACTGTCCGGTCGAAAATTGTATGTTACCACCGAATACGAGAACTGAAGCAGTTTTTCTGAAACCACGTGCACCATTCAAACTGGCTGCCTTCAACGTTCGCACACTTATGCAGGTTGGTCAACAGATAGGGTTGGCTATGTCTTTGGAAAGTCTTAATATCGATGTCTGCTGTCTATCCGAGACCCGTATTCAAGACTCTGGCGACGTACTATAGATTCGCTCTACATCTGTCACTTCAAAAAGCTTGTTTTACGTGCGCTTATCCGGGGGCCCTGTGGCATCTTCGTTTGGTCTTGCTGGCGTATGTGTCGCACTAAGCGCTAGATCTGAGGCAGCACTAATCGGCTGAATCCCCATTAACAGTCGGTTATGTGCTGTTAGATTAGAAAGTTCCATCAAAGTGAGAAGAAATCGGCGTGAGAAACGATGTCTTTTCGTCATCTCCGCCTATGCCCCGACAGATTGCAGCCCGGATGCAATCAAGGATGAGTTTTACCACCAGTTATCTGTTCTTCTCCAGAAAGTGCGTTCGACAGATATTGTAGTACTAGCCGAAGACTTGAATGCTCAGGTCGGGCGTCTAGGCAGAGAAGAGAGTCGTTTAGGTGGCCGAAGGGGACTCGTTGGTCGCAGGTCAGATAACGGGGACCGTCTACTGCAACTGTGCACAGACCACAACCTGTTTCTGGCTAGCACTAACTTTCGGCACAGTCATCGCCGATGTGCCACCTGGCGTCCTCCCTCTGCATCCCAAGCCTGGACTCAGATTGATCACATCGCAATCAGCTACCGCTGGCGTGGTTGTGTACAAGACTGCCGCTCCTTTTGGAGTACCTATCTGGACTCTGACCATGCCTTGATCTGCGCCAATCTTGCCTTACTTTTCAGTGGACAACGAAGTGACCACCATCAACGGATAGATATTAGCAAGCTGGTTGCAACTTCTGTTGCAAATAAGTATCGAACCGAGCTAGCCTTTAGGCTAGCTACCACTCCACCGAAAAGTATTAATGAGCATTGGTTGCAATTGCATGACGCCATGAAAATGGCGGGTACAGTCAGTTGTGGGTTCGCGAAACGTCCCGCTTATAAACACTGGGTTTCTTCTGGTTCCTTACAACTCATTGAAGCCCGTCGGTCTACTCCGGGTAACCGTGAGTTTGACCATAAACGAAGGATATTACGTAAGGAAATTGGGCAAAGCTTGCGTAAGGACCGAGAAGCCTGGTGGTCGAAGCGTGCTAATGAGCTGGAAGCAGCAGCTGCATCTGGTAACTACCGAAAGCTCTTCCAGCTCATCCGAGCCACTGGCAGCAAGAAGTCTGGTGTGAGTTAAACAATCTGCGAGGATGGGATGCCAATCACTAACATCCATCGACGTCTTGGACGATGGGCAGTTCAACTGGCCTGCTGCTCCGGCAACATCGGTCAGACTGTCCTGCCCTCCATGGCCGGTGACGACTGATCCATCAAACGAGGAGGAAGTCCGCAAGGAACTCCAAGTCTTGAAGCGTTACAAATCACCTGGCCCAGATGACTTACCTCCGGCTCTTTTTAAAGATGGTGGTGACTTTTTGACTAAGGAATTGACGACGTTGTTTACAAAGGTTTGGGAACTAGGGAGTGTACCAACGTCATGGGATGAGTCGATAGTTGTCCCTATCTTTAAAAAGGGTTCACGTCGTTCCTGTAATAACTATCAGGGGATAAGTCTACTTCCGATTGCGTCCAAGCTATTGGCTTCCGTCATACTTCGTAGGTTGTTCAAAACCTGAGAAACATTGACTCGCGAGGAGCAGGTTGGGTTTCGTTCTGGTCGAGGATGTATTGATCATATCTTCACCCTCTGCCAAATGTTAGAGCACCGCCATACTTATCAAAGGCCAACAATCGTAGTGTTTCTTGACATCAGGGCTGCCTTCGATTCGTTGGACAGGACTGTTCTCTGGGATTGTCTATTGAAGAAGGGTGTGCCTGAGAAATTCATTAACATCCTAAAAGCCCTATATACAAACACCTCAGGCAGAGTGAGGACATACAACCACCTCTCTCCATTGTTCCATTCGAGTAGTGGGGTTAGGCAGGGTTGCCCAATCTCACCATTCCTCTTCAACTTTGCCATCGATGACATTCTGGAAACAGCTCTGATGAATGTAAGTAATGGTGGTGTGGATCTGTTGCCTGGAGAAAGACTTCTCGACCTTGAGTATGCGGACGATATTGTCTTACTGTGCGATAATGCCCAAGCCATGCAATCCGCACTTAATCAGTTGGCAATCAGTGTCCGTAGGTATGGTATGTGCTTTGCACCTTCGAAGTGCAAAGTACTTCTACAAGACTGGCAGGATTCCAATCCTGTACTCACCCTGGATGGTGAGCAGATAGACGTAGTCGAGAAGTTCGTGTATCTGGGTAGCTGCATAAGTGCTGGTGGGGGTGTGAGTGATGAGATCAATGCACGAACAGTGAAAGCCAGAGCGGCTTATGCCAATCTGGGCCATCTATGGCGCCTTCGTGATGTCAGTCTGGCTGTAAAACGTCGGATCTACAACGCGTCGGTGAGAGCAGTTTTGCTCTATGCTTGTGAAACCTGGTCTCTCCGAGTTGAGGACGTTAGACGACTTTCTGTGTTCGATCATCGCTGTCTCCGAAGGATTGCTGACATTCAGTGGCAACACCATGTCAGTAATGCAGAGGTTCGGCATCGTGTGTTAGGGCACAGAGATGATAATTCAATTGGTGTAACCATCTTGAAACACCGACTTCGGTGGCTTGGACATGTTCTCCGAATGTCGTCCTAGAAAATTCCACGTCGTGCATTATTTGCCGACTCTGGGACTGGTTGGAAGAAGCGGAGAGGTGGTCAGTGCATGACATGGTGTCGTGGCATGAAAGAAAGCTGCAAAGGACTGGATTGTGTCGGTCCTTCACGACTCCCTGGTTGGGGTCCGAGAGATGGTGCTACACAGTGGCTAGAGACGTTATCAGATATGGCTCAGAATAGAAGCCAGTGGCGATCCTGCTGTAACCTTCTTTTACTTTCTTCATAAAAAGTGGTTGTGTCTCCCTTACCTGAAAGATTTCTTCCGATTGTACCTTTCCGTTCCCTCATTACTACCACACTACCTTACACCAATCTCTTCGTTATTGTTCTGTTTTTACGCTCCATACCTTTTTTCCTCTTCGAATTCTCATTGTTTTGTGTGGTGCATATATATTGGCGCTCTCTTGTACCAATATTCATGTTCAAATAATAATAATAAATAAATAAATACATGATCTGGTTTTAAAGAAGAATTTTATCGCTACGTTTTACACTAAAGTGGTGTGAAAATTACGTGAAAAAAACAATAAGGATGGACGTTTTAGCGTAAGACTAAAAGAACAGCGAACCACAAAAAGTAGTGATAAAAACGCTTCAAATTCAACAAGAGTTGTACAAAATGTATTATTTGAAATGGAGTATAGAGTAAATTAGCTCATTCACTAAGTATCTAAGTATGAGCCATAGTAAGTGCTAAAGATACTACTCAACCGCCTAAATCGAAGCACGCGAAGTAGAGTTCGAACCCGGGACGTAACAGCCAAACGCCTTGGCCAGTAAGCCACCTCTGCGTGATAAATGAAAATAGTAAAACACAGCAATATTTGGAAGCGGTTAGTCTGTTTTCATAACTTTATTCTGTAAACATGATTGATACAGTGGATTTCACCACGAAGTCGAGTGTAGTCTGAAAGAAACATTGCGAACTGAACATATGACATGAAAACAGGCTAGTTGACACCAAAATTGTGTAGAAGGACGGCAATAAGTGTTATTTTTACTTATGCAAAAGGGACAAGTGAGAACGTAAAATTTTTGTTATGAAAACGAAGACGGGGCTGAGCAAAACTATAAACAAAGAACATACAGAATTTATGGCAGGCTAAATAACTTAGTTAACAGCCTGATGCACAGATTAATCGACTAGCTGGGCAATACAGAAAGATCCAAAGCAACCGGCGAGCTATCTAAAAAGGACAGTGGTATTGTTTCTCGTTGAATTAGTAAATTGTTTTGATCGTAATTTACGTATCAAAACTACGATTCACACTTTAATTGAATCTAATACAGTTAAAGTGATATTCTGTTGAGTTTTTTTGGCTTTTGTGTATTTATTACGTTCGAAGCATTCTTGGTCTGTGTCAAAGTACTTTCGTTAAGGTTTGAAATCTTGCTAAAGTTTTTTTTTGTGGTAACCTTTTATTCGTTGACTGACATTTGTGTACATACTGTGATCATATTGTGTATTACACTTTGATCAGACTAAAATGGTTGGTAGTACTCACAAATGTGGACAACCAAACTGTTTGTTCCCTGTGGAAGAGGGAATGAAGTGTGACGAATGCCATAAGTGGTTCCACAAAATGTGCACCCGCTTAAGTCCCACCGCACACAAAAGATGCTCGAAGCCTAACTCACATTGGCTTTGCATGTTTTGCTGTGCCAACAAGGCATTACTAATACAGGAGGCTATGAGCCTGTTGGCTTTGGCCTGTAAAAAGAAGGATGGCATATGCGCTGACAACACGGGCACTGACAGTGACGAATGTGTCAGTGTAGTACCTGCTGTTACGCGACGCCTCAAACAACCGACTTTGACCGACGTAAAAGTGGAATCTTCGTTGACATTAACAGGGGGAGTAGTACCACCTGGTACTGACATTGTTAATAATGCACCTTTAATGGGAACCGAAGATCTGGATAAAACAGTCACCGTTCCAAATAGTCCCAGTGTTATGAGGGATGAAAAATGGACTACGGTACGTAGGAAACGAAACGAAAAGAAAAAAGCTGTAAGCAGTACACAGGTAGTTAGTAACTCACTGGTGGACTCAAATTGTGAGCCACAAATTGCACTACCAAGATCTGATGGTAAGAGTGAAACCCATCCTGGCGTGACTGAGAAGAAAAATCTAATAACATCGAATATTATTGTGAGCAAATTGCGGGAGTCAAACGATCCTGATCCGAAAATTAGACACGCGCATGACTTAGAAATTTTATTTATTTATTTATTTGGACACATGAATATTGGTACAAGAGAGCGCCAATATATATGCGCCACACAGAACAATGAAAATTCGAAGAGGAATACAAAGAAAGAAAAAAAAGCCAAGGAGCACAAAAAAAGAGAGAACAATAACGAAGAGATTGGTGTAAGGTAATGTGCTAGTAATCAGGGAACGCAAAGGCACAATCGGAAGAAATCTTTCAGGTAAATGGGACACAACCACTTTTTATGAAGAAAGTAAAAGAAGGTTACAGCAGGATCGCCACTGGCTTCTATTCTGAGCCATATCTGATAACGTCTCTAGCCACTGTGTAGCACCATCTCTCGGACCCCAACCAGGGAGTCGTGAAGGACCGACACAATCCAGTCCTTTGCAGCTTTCTTTCATGCCACGACACCATGTCATGCACTGACCACCTCTCCGCTTCACTCAGAAAAGCTAGGAGAATACATTCGTAGTATTTTACCAGATAACTCCAAAGGAGTTCAGGTCAAAAAATTGGTAAGAATAGGCAAGAGGACCGAGGACAATGTTGAACCCCGTCCGTGCAGACTCCTTAAGGTAATCCTAGGATCGGAGAAGCAACGGGATCTCTTGTTAAGTAGCGCTCGTTGTCACGACAATTCTGACATCCGAGTTAGACCTGACATGTCTCTCGAAGATAGAATAAAAAGGAAGAAAGCACTAGCTGAACTTGAAACCCGTCGGCAAAATGGCGAGGAAAATCTCCGACTAGTGGGTTTTCGGATAGTCAGGTCTTGGAAGCGAATGCTACCAAGGCCTGTGTGGATAGGCTGTCTTACTTAGGAGTTTTATATGCCAACGCTCGTAGTTTACGAAATAGATTCTATGAACTAGAAGCACTAGTAGACAGGTTAAGGCCACTCATAGTAGCAGTGACAGAAACTTGGTTAGTCCATGACTTAGACATTACTCCAGAATTATCCGGATACCATTGCATCAGGAGTGATAGACATAGATGTAGGAAAGGAGGCGGCGTCCTGTTATATATAGCCAATGGCATAAATATCCGCTCCTCTACTAGCGAATCCCATGATAGCGGCACTTGTGAAGTCATTAGCTGTAAGTTGGCTATAGGATGTAGTACATTTATGCTAGGTGTCATCTATCGGAGCCCAATCTGCTCAGCTGATGACTTTGTTTTAGAGCACATTGATCTTTGGAGTGATAATACCAGGTGCTTGATAATAGGAGACTTTAACGCACCTGATATTAGTTGGACTGATATGACCACAGAAGGATCTATAAACTCCTTTGATAGTAGGTTACTGATAACAATAATGGAGCATGCACTAGTGCAGCATGTATCCCAACCCACACGTTTTGGTGTTAACCAGGGTTCTTCTCTGCTGGATTTGGTAATCACTCATGAGACTGAGGATATTGTCGACTTAAATATTCTTCCACCGTTAGTAAACAGCGATCACGCTGTTTTGTCATTCGCGTTAACAACTAGGGACATGTTATACGATCAGGTTACACCGCGCCCAAATGTATGGAAAGTTAACATATCAGCCATTCAGGAATGCGCTGCTAAGACAGATTGGTTAGTAGATACTAGCATATCAGTTGAAGAAGCATGGTCTGTATTTAAAGGTAAATTTAGACTAGTTACGTCCCCGTTCATACCATACCTGGTACCGCGAAGACCGAATAATAGTCCACCATGGATAACTAAAACGGTCAGGAAACTCCTTAGAAAAAGGAAGAATCACTGGAATATGTTCATCTCTACTGGCTTAGAACAATACAGATCCAGTTATTGTAAGATTAGGAATGCCTGTAAAGCGTTAATAAGCAAGACTAGACATTCATACGAAAAAAAATTGGTTAGGGATTCTAGATATAGTCCGAAACGGTTATTCTCGTATATAAAAAGGCGAACTAAGAGAAGCGATGGAATTCCATCACTTTTGATACAAGAAAATCCGTTAATCTTGGCAGAAAACGATACCGAAAAAGCTGAAGCTTTATCGGAATATTTTAGTAAAGTGTTTTCTATCGGTAATGAGGAACGACCAATGATTCATCGTGACCGTGACGGCTCGCTGATGGATCCTGTAGTCATTGAGAAAGATACTGTTTTAAGGCTACTTCAGCATCTCAAACCTGATAAGTCCAGTGGTCCCGATGATATTCATCCTAGGATTATGAAAGCCATATCAGATGAAATTGCCGAACCATTAGCGATACTATTCGACATGTCTCTGAGACAGTCCAGACTTCCTAGAGACTGGAAAGACGCCATAATAAGTCCGGTGTATAAGGCTGGGAGTAGGGATTTAGTTAGTAACTATAGACTCGTTAGCTTAACTAGTGCAGTTGTGAAACTGATGGAGAAAATCATTCGGATAGCTGTTATAAACTATGTTGAAGGGCAAAATCTTTTCTCCAGGGAACAACATGGTTTTTGGAAAGGCCTATCTTGCTTGACAAATCTCATTGCACGAGAAGATTGGGCTGCGGCAAAAGATCGGAATGCTCCTGTGGATGTGATTTTCATAGATCTAAGTAAAGCCTTTGATAAGGTTTCCCACTCTGGTCTTAAATGCAAACTGAAACGTTTTGGAATCCACTATACAGTCGTCGATTGAATAAGTAACTTTCTCCATGACAGGAGACAAAGGGTAAGGGTTAATGGGGCTCTCTCCTCGTGGGTACCTGTAAAAAGTGGGGTTCGCCAAGGCACAATCCTGGGTCCTCTTCTCTTTTTACTTTATGTAAATGAATTGCCAACTGTAGCAAAATCATCCGTTCTACTCTTCGCTGATGACATAAAGATTTGGAGACCCATACATAGTATGTCGGATAGGATAGTATTACAGGACGATCTTAGCTCATTGGTGGCATGGTTAGATAGGTGGTCACTAGAAGTAAATCCTAATAAGAGTGTAGTGATGCAGTTAAATAACTCTGATGAATCGTATGACTATACATTACGTGGATTCGTGCTACCCAAAGTAAGAAACTATAAAGATTTAGGAGTCATATTAAGCAATGATCTCAAAACGACTAGTCACTGTAAGGCTGCTGCTGCAAAAGGCTATAGGGTATTATGGTCAATTCGTAGGTCTTTTCAGTATTTAGATGATGAAATGTTTGGATTACTACACCCGATTTATGTGGGACCACATTTAGAATACGGGATTCAAGCAGCGAGTCCTTGTTTCAAATATGAAGCAGATATGCTAGAAAGAGTCCAACGACGAGCTACTAAGATGGTACAAGGTCTAGCTGGCCTATCTTATGAAGACAGACTGAGACACCTTAACTTATTTCCGTTATCTTACCGTAGAGTACGGGATGATCTAATATTGGCTTATCGTATACTGAACGATGACCTTGGTATTAACATGTCTTATCTTTTGCTTCCGTCTAGAACCGATCATTTGAGAGGACATTCGAAGAAAGTTCAAAAACCGAGATCAAACCGTTTACGTCTGGAGTTCCGTTTCTCGCACCGAGTAGTGAATTACTGGAATTCTCTACCGGAACACGTAATATCAGCACCGTCTGTTAATATATTCAAAACGAGATTGGACCTCCACAGTATTACAAACTGCAAGGATCAATATAGGTCGACAGACCTATCCTTATTACTGAAGACTGAAACTAAATACGTGGAGCAAAGCGTTAAGTTCACTGTAACCTGAAACGAATAGTTCATTTAACAGGGACTGAGTTATTCACGTGGCTGAGGAAACATTTTAAGACAAATATATGAAGCACATCTGCAAAGACAACTTCGCCAGATCACCGTAACCTTACTAGCTACAGGATGTCCATTTATATAAATGAACTAAGTGAACCAACCTCTGCGACACTATAAAATAATTCGTGGGTTCATTTAAGTATCAGCAACACTAGCAAACTTGTAAATAAGTGGTCGGAATAATTCCCAGACTCGTTAAGTACTCATCATATCCAGACATTATACTAGAACGCGGTGGGGGGGAGACGAGTTGTTAAACCCATCGTTACTCAAATATGAGACGGAGTGGATTCCTTTTGGTACATGGGACTATATATTGGATGTCTTTACGCACTGCAACGGGAAAATTTAATCCGAAAATACGTGTCAACGATTCGAATGTTGTAATTATATTACACATGTTACAGACCAGAGACTTTAGTCAGGAATAATGAGCAAGCAAAAAAAACGAGTCTGTTCCAGGGTTCTGACTTTTCCGTACTAAATTACTATCTCAGAATTTTTAGCAAAAGATTTGGACGTTAAACTTCTGAGATAATGCAGAACGAAATACTAGCGTTATTATATTTCAAAACCAAGTATAACTAAGCATGAACTGGAAGAATCAACCTTCTGTGCCTAATTTATAAATTTATTTGAAGGTGAGTCTTACTTGCAAAGAAACTCAAAACTCTGGAAGTTGGAGATAGGAAACACGAGGATGTGCCCAGCCTCCCTCAGCCAGATAATCCCGCCCTTATGACCTGCTCATTATAAGCTCACATCTTAAACGTTCCAAACAAAATTTTTGATAAGGTATGAAGGTGATGTCTGTGTGAGATATTCTAAGAACCCATACACTCTCCTAGCAACTGAAACTTATTATGTACTCTTTGTTCTATCTCCTTGGGCTAGTCTGCTTTATTTTTAGACTTCAGTGATAAGGATAGTGCAGTAGTAAATAGATCCCCAATATAGATATTTTCATATGCCCTCGATCTTGATTCCGACCGAATTTGTTTTGCTGAGCACACCCTAGCGAAATGTTCTTGATCGCTGCATCAGATCACAAATGAGCACGCTATGCTACTCATCAGCAGCTACTAATCAGCTTAGACCAAACACTTATCAACATATCGATAGCTTTCCAAACACATTTTCAAACTCCTTCGTTTCTAGATTCTTATTGGACTGGGTTGGAATCCTTCAATTATAAATTATTACGTGTGTAGTGGATACTTGTGGCATCTTTACGTGTAAAGGCACTGTCGAACTTATGTTATCTTTATTGGTAAGCCCGGCGTGGCCTGCTACATAGCTTGTGACGTCATATTTGATCCCTTTAACTTTTATTTTTACATACAGTGATATCGCTTTTTTCATTTTCGGATTTTCTCGCACATTTGTATATTTTGTGTTCATTATAAAGGAACAGATACCC